TTTGCCGCCCAGACTTGGTCATCTACACTGCCATTGGGAACTGGAAGTTGCCTACCGGCAAGGGAAAATCGTCCCTCGGCTGTTGACCCAAGTGGCTCTCCTGGGAAACCAGATCCACGAGATTGAAGCGGGAGTCAAAATTCAAAGCGCCCTGAACATTTACAGGAGCCGCGCTCTAAAGATTACCGCTATAAACAGCCAACGGACTTCGACGATGGTGCGGAAGTGTTCGTTAATCGAACAGCAACCAGGAAACTTCCAACGAAGTTTCGAACCCAACGATCCTCAACAGGATCGTCCGCACACGTCCCAACTCAGGCCACACAACCTGGCCAAGAAGTCCAGCCGGCCAGCACCTCCAGCCAAAATCAACAAAACCTGACAGAACAGGAATTGGCGGCCATGGAGGAAAGCGTCGTCGACCCACTCAACCCTGGGCTGGGCGACGGCGACCAAGCCGGACAAGGAGGGCAGGGATAGGCCAATGGCCATTCCTGCATGTTGGCCCTAAACAGGGACCAACATCAGCTGGACCGGACTTGAACACCATGATGGGTGCAATCCAACGGTTGTTACCCTCGCCCAACAAACGTGGCTTACGGCCATGTACCGTCTACCTCACCGGACCTAAATCCCTGGATCTTAACCGGATTCCCCGGATAGGCTCTGGCTTAGCGGCTGGGACCATGAATTTGGCTCGGCCATCCCAGACCATCCGACGGAGTCCACCGGACCGAACTTGGCACAACGCCTAAGTTCACCGGCATGGAAAGGATCCAGCGCCCAGAAGGCGGCGACGGCCCGCATGGAAGTTGCGACAAGCCGTGGATCAGCCTGGCCCGCATACAAGTTGCGACAAGCCAAGGCCAAGTCCTGGCCCATAGAAGTTGGACCAGGCCCACTATGCGTCTAACCGACCATAGATGGCTCACGAGTCTAGTTGCCATACCAAGCAACTGGGACAAGTGAGTTCGGGAGCCACATAGAAGTTGTGGTATACCCATTTTGCATGCCATGTCCAACATCCTCACCATGGACCGCCCAGAGGCCCATCTAAAAGATGCACCGCCCCGAGGCCAAACGAGGATGCTTCTAGTCAGCAGACCGACTCCTTTGTGGAAAACGCCTACCGGCGCCCACAACTTAATTTTTTTGGAGTTTGGCCCGGCCAACCTGATGTTTTCGTCAGACGCCACTTAATTTTGTTATGGCCACGGTCTCAGGGAAACCTACCTGACTCATCGGACATGGTAGCCAACTCATGGCCCACGGCCAGTGAGACGGACCAACTTTGGCCCGCCATCACACCCTTGGACCGTCGAAAAACGACTAAGTCCTTTTGGCCCGCCATACACCTTGGACCGTCGAAAAACGACTAAGTCTTTTGGCCCGCCATCAACTTGGACCGTCGGAAAATCGACTAAGTCTTTTGGCCCGTCCAATGACGTGGCTCATCAAAAAACGACTAAGTCCACATCGGAGAGCCAAACCTGGTTAACAGTCCCACAACAGCCGGAGCCAGCCAAATCACAATGGAACCTGTATCCGGCCCAGAGCATGTCAGAGACCGAGTTTGGACCGCCCCAACGGGTTTGGTCCATCACACCACCTGGTCCTGGGACTTAGAAAATTTTCCATTGTGGCCCTCCTGGACTTAGAAGATTTTTGGCCTGAGGCGCATGACCAAACCGGCATGCAAGGGCCAAACCCAATAAATGGACCGCCCTAACGGGACTGGTCCAAAGCACCCATTTTGGCCATTGGGAAGGAATCCGACAGGACTCCCACTCCCGCCATATTAGGACAACCCTAACGGGTCAGGTCCAACAGAGGCATGTCAGACCAAAGCATGGCCATCCTAACGGAATGGGTCCAAGCATTAATTTGGTTACAGGAGCACCTCTCCTGTCCAGAGGCATCACTCTGGCCCATCATGGACCGCCCAACCGGGCTTGGTCCACCATACTTTAACAAGGAAGGGGACAACTTGTCCTTGCGCATGCAACCGTGCCTTCCATACACCGCACCGCTGGATTTACTCCACTGGACCCCTGTGGACATCTCTGGGAACCGTCGCCCCGGATTCACAGGACCAGACCAATCCTATCGGATAAAGCGGACCGTTGACTAGGACCCGTGTGGACAAAAGATTGGCCCTGTGGTAAACCTAGTCGGAATAAGCCATTTCGTCTAGTTTTTTAACCACACCTGGTTTTTCTAGACTTTATTAACCAAAGAAATTGATGTTTTTATTTAGCCATTAACCAAAGGAATTGGCTTTGGGATCTCTAACTATGATCTTACTTTCTTTAATTCTCACCGGAATTGTGATCTTTTTATTTCGATGTTTAACCTACGAGCCTTATAAACTTTATTTTTTACTTGTTCGACCAACCAAGCCTTCAAACCCCACTGGAAACCCCCAGCAACCAGAGTGCACTCCAGATTTCGGCCGTTCGGTGCACTGCACCGCGGGTCTGAGGAAGCGACCCTACCGGGTTTAGAGACAAAGTGGCATCCGGCCCTACTGGTATCGGATCCTGGCACCCTACCGGGTTGGCCAGGGCAGAGTCGGAAGGTGCTCGCAGGAGCTCCCACTCCCGCCCAGAGGCATGTCAGAGACCGCTCACTCGAGGCGGTAGACACCTCTTGTGGTTTTTGCTTCTGTCGCCCGCCCGCACATGGTTACTCCATTCGTGCCGCGCTATTACGCTGCTTACTCAGCGCACACTTTGTCTACGCTGACCAATCAGCGCATTTCTCTGCACTCTTGGGGGTGGAGCCCTGCGCCTACGGGCGATTCCATGCTTTGCAGCATCAGCTGTTGCATACCCGCAGCACGCGGAATCATTAATCACGATTCCTTGATAGCGCACTGCAGGCACTTTTTCCACAGCTTTTCCCGCATTGGGTTTTCTGTTGGTTTTTGTGTTGTTGTTGTTGCTTTATTGTACCAATAAAGGTGATATTTGCCCCATTTTCCATCTGCCTCTGTGTCATATCTGACAAATCAATAATACACATGCATCAAATGTATACGAATATAAAATTAAAAGCACAGAAATTCGTTAATGATTTCAATTTTTAATCAAACTTAACCAAGTACCACACAAATTCAAAAACGCAGAGGAAGTTTAGACTCCGCAATTATTATCAAGAAACCAGTTGCAAATAAAAACGAGGAGATACAACCACAAATGCGAAACAAAAAAAGAAAAACCAATAATTTATTTTTTTAAAACTTATGACAGAACTGTGTAATTATTAGAAACGCTTTCAATCGATTATTCCGGTGTAAATAATAGTTTCGTGAATTAGTTAAACATAAGTAAAAATTATTAATTCATTCTAAATATCCGCGTTTATCTTCATCAAGTATGCTTCTTTATGATATTATAGTCGCTGTAATAAATGCAGTGCAATATCAATTTCTTTCGCGGCTTTGGGCAATAGTAAAATAATTTGGAAAAGTAACTGAATAATATTAATAAACTTAACAAAAATTGTTGAAAATTACTGAAAAATTACAAAATTACTATAAAATTTCGAAAATTATTTAAAAAAACTATTACGCAACAACAACATTAAATATCATTTTACTGATTAAATTTTTACACAGAAACTTACGCAAATTGGACGGTGCTTTAAATTGTGCCGAACACAGAGAAAAATAGGACAAAAGAACCAAGCAGACGAAAATAAAATCCATCTTGAAAATTTTCTTGAAAAGACAAGATATCTTCTATGATGAGCGGAAACTGGAAGATATTTTATAAAAGAAGAAACCCGAAAAACAGAGGGCCATTTTCACCGCAGCCCGAAAAAACGAAGCCAAATGCAAATTAAAAAAATTAATTTTTATTTGCGTGTCGCGCTTTATACTGATGTTATTCCAGCCAAAGAATGTTGCGTTTTTTTATAAGAAGCAATTTTAGAATATTAAGCATCCCCGACAAATAAAATACGGCGACGTCCGGGAGGCAATTAATTCCATATGAAAAAGGACTGCACACCGTCAGGGCTAATCAGTCGCGGCGGCACATAAATAAAACCCTGACTGTCATTTCAGAATTTCCTAACAATATCGTCTTCGGCTAATTTTCTCCGTAGTTTTTTATTTCGCCATCAACTGGAAATGCCACTCCATATTTTATGCGAAAACAGCCATACACGCATGTCTGGCAAAACACTTTTGTCGCGTGATAGAAAGCCCAAAACCGGGTCTGCTGGAAAACTTGCCGTTGTCACCGTTAATGTTTGTAATGAATAAATTATAATGATCTCACACGCTGTCCACGAGTCGGAAAAAAAGCGTGCACTCACGCACCATCAATCAAAACAATTCCGTACAAAATCACAACCACAAAAAAGTTGGCACTCGCGAAGATTCACATTAAAAACAGTAAAAAAATTTATCGGAAAAAAGGAAAGATAAAATAATGTGGAAAAAATGGTAGTGTTATGAATATTACTATGAGAACATTATCACGAACGATATTATAAAAAATGTGATGCCTAACGGCTTCCTCTAAACAAAAGCAGCATCTGCTAAATAATTAAGATGCAAATTCGTCTGCCGGTTGAATTATACATTTTTAGAAAAACAAGGTACTGAAAATCGTAAGACAGCAATCCGCACAAATCCATTAATAAATAAACATTTAAAATTCATAAAAATCTAATAGAATCACCTAAAACTGATGAAAAAAATTACAGATTTTCAGAGAATTATTTAAAGTTGTAAATCTCGAATATCCTCCCAAAAACATGCGGCGCACAATCAGTGACTTTTACACAAAACTGCGGTCAAATAGCAGATTATCTGTCAAATAGCAAATAGGTCTTATTAGCTTATACCATAAACCGGATAATTCGCTTACACACAGTAAAGAAAAAATAAAAACGTGCACGTGAAAAAAATTTAAATAAAAACCAAAAAAAAACATCAAAATGAAAAAAGTTTGCGCGTAAAAGAAATAAACAGAAAAAGTTACAAAAGCACGAAATAAAACTTAATAAAAAATGACAAAATATAAACGAAAAATTGGCATAACAAATAAACAGAAAGCTGCGAAAAATTACAGAAAAAAACCCATAAAAATTTCTGGAAAAAAATTACACAAAATAGTACTATAGTACTGACCTTTAGTTAATAATGATAAATGGCGTATTCGTGAGTGAACCGCCTCGCCACGTGGTCAAACAGCTCCCGGTCCTTCTTCCACAGCTCCCACGCCTGCGGATTGACCACCCGCCCACAGGCGACACTCCCGGGGCGCAGCTGCCCCTCCTCCAGCACCGTCACATCCAACGCCAAATACCGCCCGACCAATTCCACCACAAACTCCGGTCCGCGCACACACGACCAATGATTCCCGTCGTACAACTGAATGTCCTTCCGCTTCGTGTAGGGGAAGTAGAAGTCGCCGTGGGGCGCGAAGAAGGGACTGTAGATCTTGGTTAATAACTGGGCGTGGTAGGCGTCCACGGGGTAGGTCTTGGGGAAGTGCAGGAGGAGTCGGAAGCGGCCGCCCAGGTAGGGGGTGCCGTGCTGACCGAGAAAGGTGATGACGGCGTGGCTGATGGGTTGCTGGTCGGCCGGGAGGGCCGGGTCGGCGTTGCACAGCTGGATGTTGAGGATGTCGGGCCGGCGGAGGGCGCCGCGTGCCGAGTGGCTCTGTCTGCGTTGAACAACAGTTAAATGCCGCAAAATATTGAAATTAATAAAATAAGGAAACTTCTAAATTTTCACAATTTTCGTATATTTATATTTCTTTTTGTTTCTTATTTTTTCTATTTATTTTACGTAAGTATGCAGATACATGAAACTGTAAGTATGCAGGTACAAGGTATCTAAAAAGAATACAAAAAATAATTTAATTAATAAGATAAAAAAAAACAACATACTGCGAAATTCAGCCAAAATATAGTATTGCATAGGTATCTGCGATAGTTCATGTGTGAACAACACAATGTGGGTGACAGTCTAGTCATCCATCTACAGTTTTCATCTTCACTGTGTATGGACTTATAGTTCGCGAACATGTCTTGCCGCGCGGACAGTAACACTGACCGCAACTAAAAAATTCCTGAAAAAATTTAAATACCGCGAAAGTCCTACAGATTAAAAATATCACATCGTTAAATAAAACGAAATCAAATTTCTGCAACTAACTGTCACAAAATACCAGAAAACGAACAGGACGAAAGAAACAAAAAGCCCTAAGGACTTAAAACTTCCCGCAAAAATTCTGCAGCTTTTATCATCGGAAAATATGGCTCGGAAAATGGATAAACAAAAAATTGGAAAAACAGAAAAAACGTTTGAATATCATTCTTAATTTTTACTGGTTACAGCTGTAAAGTGCCGCAATAAAGACATATAGAGGACCCTGAAGTGCAGCCATCGCTCTACGAAACCCATCTTCATCAACGAGCAGTCAATATATGAAGTAGTAGTTTTTCGCCACGAAAATCTGACGAAAACTATGGAACCGTTTTCCAGACCAGATAATCGACTTATTTTATTACAATTTCAATAAGGTTACCTGACGAAATAATAATTTATTTTAGAAATACATTCTCAGCATCTTCCACAACCTAAAGATACTTAAAATCACTAATTTTTTTCATAAAATAAAAGTAAGATATTCATAAACAAAATAAACAAATATCTTAATAAACAAATATATAAAATATAAGATCAATAAATAAAACATTAAATAAACAAATAATAAATAAATCATAAAATACGTGAATAAAATAATGTTAGTTTTATTGAGATTTTTTTCTCCACACCCACCGGATGAGATGCGCAGCGGGGCCCAACGGCCGCCCGATCCGCTCCATCTCCCGGATGATCCGCTGCGGCACCATAGGGCGGACGCCGGGATACTCGGGTGAGGGGGCCAGGCGCAGGAAGCAGTGGAAGCACGCCAGACTGTCCACCGTGTGTTTGTAGATGGCCCGCCACGCCTCCACGTTCCCCCCGGCGGCGCGACTCGCTCCGACAGCAGACCGCGGCGGGCCAGCGCCGTCACGTAGAATTTGTAATCGGCCAGGGCGGCGGCCAGGCGACGGGGCAGGAGGGGGGTGAAGGCGGGGGAGGCCTCCAGGAGGGCGAAGAGGTACGCGTCGTTGGAGGCCAGGTAGGAGATGATCAGCTGCCAGAGCTCCAGGGGCAGGACGGCGCCGGGGGAGAAGGTGGTGAGCGGGGGAAGGTCGAGGGGGGCCAGTCTGTGGGGTTCAAGAAGCGAATTAAATTAAATTATTAATCCCGAATTTTATCAAATAGTGCCCCTCCCCTTAATTAGGTCCCCGTGTCCAACAGCCACCCCTGGACAAATTTTCAGACGGACTTGTTTGTGAAATTCATTTATCCCCAAGTACACCTCCGTTGGTTCATCCACGAAATACGGTGCTGTCCCGGGATCGTTATGATCAAATACTACCCCGGGGACATTAATACTTCTATTGGTAAAACACCGTATTGAAGTGTGGTTGCGCTGTTTTACCTACCGCGCTGGTTTCCCTGGTTTTCTGACTTGAGGGAGTTGGGGTGCCTACCTGCGAAAACAGTTTGTGGGAGGCCGCCGCGGGCAATCGGAGAAATGGTAGCTGCAACGCTGCCATAGATCGCCAGAGCTGACGAACGGCTCGCGACCCGCACAGCCGCAGTCGTCGGGCGCTGCGGATTCCGACATTTTCTGCAGCGCGACGGCGATGCAGCGCTGAAGTACGCAGCGATACCGGAGCCCGAGACGGGGGGAATAGGGTCGATCCAGGCGCAAAGAAAGACAAGCTACTCAAAAGGAATTATAACAGTAATCGATAATGATCTCTTACTCTTGCAGAATAAAAAATGGACAAAAGTAAAATCTAAAAACACTTTAAAACAGCAAGGAACTCGGGAATTCGGAATGCACTGCAGTTTCGAACGCAAATCAACCAGACTGCCGCCTAGCTGGGAGTCTGCCAACGACGACACTCCGCGGTAAATCTGGAGTGCGCCTTCTCAGGCGGTATCCACTTGCGCAGATGATGGCGGGCTAGTTTTGTACAGTACGTGCAGCTGGCAAGTACTACAAGTACAATACATAGTATTGTACATACAACCATGCTGTATGACAGTAATATCAACTAATCTGCAATATCGCTCATCTTCCATGTGAATTATTACTAGTATTTCAAAATCTGATTTATTCAGTAACTTCAAAATTTATTACAGCAAGGTCTACTTTTTCGCTGATTATGTGATAAATTTGAATTCCTTCAAGTACTTATCTACTAGCGTGGCAATGCACCGAGAATGCCGCATACATCATAATCAAAACAAAACAAATAATCAACAAATAAAAAAAACAAAATAAAAAACAAATAATCAAATAATCACTTAGCAGTTATTGATACCAAATTTTTGGAATTTACATGATGACATTGTATTAAGTTATTTACTTACTATTTGCTAATGCGGTAATGTTAAAATATTGGTAAAATAATAAATTTTAATACAAGTATGCTCGCTATATACACGAATAGTCAGAGATAAATTATTATTTTCACAAAACCGATGAAATCCATCAAGCAAACTAGTGCTGCAATAAGACCAACGGCGATAGTGTTATAAGAGGAAGATTGCGCTCGAAAAATTAACGTTTCGCTGCCGTGTTATATATCACCTTGCTCGCCTAGATTATTCCGTACCCACTCAACGCGATCATCAACGCCGAGAACGCGATCTGTACAAAAGAGCCATGAATAACACATTGCTTACGCTGGCGAAATCGAAAAGCTCAGGTTTATTAGTCCATAAACTTTATATACCAAGTAGAAAGAACTAAGTTAACTTCTTAAACGATGTTGAAAAGAGGACGCGTGTATAATTTTTAAGGTATTGTAGAATATTTGGAAAACTGTATACTGTACAGTTACCCTGCATGCAGAACATTCATTGGGTGATACGATGTACGATTGTACATTTGTACTGACGTATACTGTATAGTATTTATGTATACGCCGTAAAACGTGGCGCGACCATATTTGTTTTACTACAATCGCCATTTTTTATGTTGGAGCACTTTCCGGCGCTTAATTTTTTGATTTTCGCGTAACATGGCGTTATTAATAATCGTGGCTTAAGTTAGGCCAAATACATATGGAGCAAACAGTATGTGGCGCTACATGGATGGCGCCGTGGGCGCAAGTCGACGATATCCCCTGCAATTTATTCTTCGCGTGACAATATTTGTCAGCCTTGTGGTTTTCTTCATTAATTCCCTGCTGAACAAACTGGACCATGCTTGCACAGCCGCTGAGGTTGGTCTTCAGAATGACGCGTCACGACTACCGTCATCAGTTTTCGCCGGGAACGACACCATGACCGCACCGACTGTGTTCTTCGTGCATTACGTAAAATTCACTCCGCGACGGATTCCATTACGGTTTCTGGATTACGTCAGCATCCGCTCGGCGTTGAACAACGTCAAACCGGATAAGGTCCTCGTCCACGGCGACACCGAACCCACCGGACCCTACTGGGAGCTGCTTCGCAAAACTGGGATGGTCGCACACCGATTTCGGCAACCGACAAAAACAGCCGGGAAAACAAAAGTTAAATTCCGCGAACACTGGGCGGATATGGCTAAACTGGACGTGGTACTGGAATACGGGGGCGTGGCCGCAGATTTTGACGTGTATTTCATCCGCGGGGAGCGGATCAAGGAGATCCTGCAGACGAAGCAGTCCATCACGTGCTACGGCGATGAAGACGGCTATAACATCGGCTTCGTCGCCGGGCGCAAGGCGGCGCCGTTACTGACCGCCTGGCGACGCAGCTACGAGGATATCTACCTGCACGACTGGAATTTCAATCAAGCGCGCGTGGCACGGTATTTAAGTATACTGTATCGCGAGACGAACTACGTCGCCGGATTCGTGTGTAATAATCCGCATCCGAATAATCTGTACCCGTTTTATAAGCAGTTGGGCGTGGTTAAGTGGGAAAGTTCCCTGGCGGTGCATACGTACTACCGGCAAGTTGGGAGCTATGCCGAGAAACCGGATGATTTGTATAAGCACAGCGATCGGAATACGTCGCATGTGGAGATGCTGATATCGTTGCTGGAAGGCCGGTTGCCGGCGATGGAGGACGGTTTTCGGGATGAGATCGATCCTTTGACTGGACGGTTGATCGGGGATGCTGCTCCAGTAACCGAATTAAGAAAAACAACGGCGAATATCCGTATAACTGATATTGATATATGACGCCGTTTTTACTGTGATATTCTTAGCGCATTTTCGGTGAGAGCGACTAGTTTCTGCCGTTTAACATGTTCTATCGTTTTCTCTCAAATTTTGGGACCGAAAAATTTTTTCACTAAAACGGTATAACTGTGTATTTCTGAAATTACGTTTTTTCGTGCATGTATGAATCGTCATAGTGATAGTAATTATCGGATGAGAAGTCTAGTAATGCTTTTTTAATGTTTAAATTCGATCACTTTTATTAGTGTAAATCAGCGCAGGCATGTTGTTATGTATACTGGCTGTTGTCGATAAAGAAGAAGTTTAGTAACAATTTCATAAACATTGTGCAAGTTGCATAAAAAATTTAGTAGAACGATTGCTGCTGACGTCGCGTTTTTTGTGTGCACATGTCCTCGTGCAGAGTTGCTTACACAGGAATAATTACCATAGTTAGAGTATGCGCAACTCGGTTGCCGTATGAACAAAAAGGATTAAAAAAACGCGAAAAAAATCGAGATACGCATCTGGCATGCTTGTGAGAAGATATGCCGCTAGTCTACCGTCAACTCGGTTTCGGTCCGGTTCGGCTCGGTTTCGGTGGCATATCTTCTCTTGTGGTCCAAAACACGCTGCTACAAAGTAGTAAGTACGTGCTGTAAAACATTCACTGGAACGCAGTAATTAATTCAAACAAAGCAATTAGCCAAAACAAGGACGAATACAAAGAAATTTAGCGTCATTGTATGTGCACGCAAAAAAATAGCAATTACGCCATCTGCCGGCGACTATGGAATCTATCCGTAACTCAAGGATAAGCAAAGAAGAAAATCATAAAATTCACAGCACATCATAAAATGGTACAGAATCCAGTGGTGAGGACCACTTATTTCAAGAACTGCGGCGTCAATTCTTCATCGAAATTTTTGGATACCAACATTTTTTTCCCCAGTGCGACGGAGCAATGCGGAATTGACTTTGGGATGTGGTTACGCGGTTGGATCGTTGATCTGTCCGATAAAGACTGGTACAGTAAAACCTCTCTATAAAATACAGGCACTCTATATGTATGGTGTATGTAACTCTTATAAAGAGGTGAATGCTATAAAGAGAATCCCCCCTATGTTATAACATGCGAGCCAATCCGGTTCCTTACAAGTTGTATGTTATAAAGAAGTGTATTTAATAAAGAAGTGTATTTTAAGAGAGGTTTCACTGTACCCGAGTGACTTCGTTCCAGATGACCACTAGAAACGGATGATTAGCCACGAAATGCGGTTGTCGTTCGGCTAAGCAGTTGGGTATTAAGCGGAATCCGGTTACTGCCGTAGCTTTTACGCCGTACTCATCCATATCTGCAACATTTTAACGCCGTGGATTATATAGTTAAATAAGCGCAGTTACAGACATATGCTGGAATTTTTTTGGATGGACTTCATGACGGAAAAGTCAAATTACAGTAATCACAGTTTGAAAACATGTTATTTATTTTCCGCTATACCTATATTATCGCGCAGATTTAAAAAACGTGATTAGTGGTCGCACCGACTCCGAGCATACGCATGCCAGGGTAAATACATAATGCCAGAATCCTATGTTTACACCAGAACGTTCACGCTCTCCTAAACACCCTTTGGCGCTGCGTTTAAGTATGCTCCACCAAAGTTTTGGTCTGTTGCAAAAGAGAATGCCCGCAGCTGTATCTCGTATCCCGTACCCAATATAACTTCCTGTTTAAACTCATCAATTTTCATTTCCCTTCCATCATCCATCATGCGCGAGAAATTCCCTGTCGACGGTGTGTACATCTGCTCTAAACCCAGCTTTTGCGTAGCTGGGATCAGGTCGGTACTGCAACGGATGCGAAATTTGGGAATGATGATGTATGGCGTACCATCGCCTTCGCTTTTCTGCATCCAGGTTAACAGCCGTTGTATGGTAAGCATTTCGATCAATTTCCGCATTCCATCAGTAGAATTATCGGCAGGTAATAAAAGCATGACGCTAAATTTTCTGCCTTTTACGTCCAGGATAATCATCTTGGGATCGCCGGCCTCCACCACAGCCCTGGGGTACGGCAGCACGTTGTAGTGCCAAACGACTGCGTTCTCTTCTTTCCTGAAACCCACAGCTTTCTCAATGCCATCACGACAGTGGAACGGCCCAGTTCTAGTGTGGGTCGGGCCAAAGGGCACTTCCCACTGACCTAAAGGATTATACAAACTGGAACATTTTTGAGCCGTTTTTTTAATTTAATTGAAACCAAATACCTACCGGAAATAATGAACTGAAGTATTTTGGAAGTTAAAAAAAAGAAATTTCAGCTTTCTGCTTATAAGCGTTTAAGTCTGCATATAGACAGAATGACTTTTGTTCGATCTGAAAATGGTTGTATTATTTACAAATTTTTCGCTACTTTCGCCAAAATTTTGTTTAACCCATTGATTTCCTTTTTCTTCCAATACGCAAACGTAACAAAGATTATGTTTTTAAAAAGTATTTATCCGAAACCATTAAAGACACAGAAAATTAAACTTACAATTATTAGTAACCCTGAAAGTTAATAATATTTGAACCGCGCATATACTGACCAGCAAAATCGATGATGTTGATTAACATTAACGCTGTATCAGTACTGTCTCGGCTTTCGGTGAGGAATGCCGTTATTTTTCCGTCCGTTTTCTCCGCCACAAACTGATTGACAATCGCTACCGCTCGAGCGGGATTATCTTGAAACGGCGTCGGAATAAATCCGCACTGTATGGACGTCTCCACCGTTTCCCGGTACTGAGCGACCAAGCGACAGTGGTCATCGTAAAACATCGCATTCGTACTGTTCAGCGCGCCTTCCGTGTTAACTGCATGTAGATTCGTTATCAAGTCCGAAAATGATCTTCCATCAGGACACAGCAGCTGCGTCAACGCTGTATGCAGTTCACCATCGGTTCCGGGCAACAGCGCTGCCAGAATCAGTTCCACGGAATACGGGCAGATAACAAGGTTTTTTTTGGGGTTACGGCACGTTTCCACCGCGGCCTTGAACGCTTCCACGGCGAAACTGTTCTCCGTATTTACCTTTAATTCCGTGGTTTGAGGAGGTAGGAGATTGTGATGAACATTATCCTCCTGTGTAGAGTGGGCTAGCTTCTTTCGTCCCATACATGCCCCAAAACAGTCCAGAAAGTTCCGCATAACTGGAGGCGAAGTCTATAGTGCGGACTGGAAAAGTATGGCAAATGCCAAATTATGTATATGCGTTTGGATTCAGAATCAGTAGTAAATACAATACAGACATGCAGCATTATTGAGAGCTCTGTCGGGAGCGATCGATACTTGACCAACTGAGTAGCCACAGAAGACACACTTTTCCATGCGCTATCTTTAGAGCAACGGTCAGCCTATCGATTTTCTCTTGCGGCATGTAAAACAGAGATTATATGGCTCATACCAGTTGACCACAACTGTTACGGGTAGTAGCTAGTAACACACTGCGTGGCCCAATCTCGCGATTGTATAACGGCAGATTGCTTCTCAACGCGCCACGCGAAACAGCTACTCTGGGCTCGGAACTTTATTCCATTGGGCAGATATGCCGATACATTGGCCGGAAGCGGCCCCAAGCCATCGAACAAAACAACAACAACAAAAAAAAATTTTCTTAACTGCAAACAACTGTGAACAACAGCGCAGAATGCTACCGCTCGCACTTATATAGACACACCACTATACACAGAACATGTGCTCGCTTAACAACCAGGATGCGGCGCCGTACGTCGCAATACGCGGATTCTCCGGTGCCTTAGAATCCAGTCCATTGCTTCTCAACGCGCCACGCGAAACAGCTACTCTGGGCTCGGAACTTTATTCCATTGGGCAGATATGCCGATACATTGGCCGGAAGCGGCCCCAAGCCCAAGAAGCCAAACAAACAAGGAACAATGCGGAAGCAACAGCACGGCTAAATTTACCGTTGCAAAGTGAGGGCTGTCGCAATTCCGGAAGCGAATTCTCGGCGGAAGTCGACATCACGGCTGATGTACTGCTTGTAGCAGTCGCTTCTCCAATTCCCTTGAGCTTTCAAGGAATTTTCCGATAGGCCAACAGACGAGGAAAATGTAGCGGCTCCCCTCCGAAAGGAATGAGCGGAAAACCGTGAGACGTCCGACACGCCACCGCTTTCCAGTGTTTTCCGAAGTAATTTGTTAAATTCATTCGAGGTTAAAGGTTTAACGGTTTCGCCAACCCTATAACTAAACAAGAAATCGTGGTCGCGCGGTCGCACAGATTTCTGAGCGCTGCGAATGGCTTGAACTGGGCAAAAACAGCTGCCGTTGACTACAGGGAGCGGTACGATGAGTTCAGCGTCTTTGTGTTTCATATTCTTTAAGGCTTTTACGCGCAAAGTCGCTTCTGACTTCCGGTACTGAAGGTCCTTGGTTCGAAGAGCTGCGCTGTTATTCCGCCGGAAAAGCAAATTTGATGAACGAAGGAGGGAGAAGAATGCTACCAGGCAAGCCGCCCAGAACGTTTTTCTCAAAGCGAGCGGCAAACAATGCAGATTCTTATGAATCGTGCGCAAGTGGCAAGGAGAGATGGGGTCACGACGATTCGGGGCAAGGTGGCGAGAACGACGAAGACCTGCCAATGATTCCTTGATGGAGAAATGTGACAAATCTGGGGCTTCGAGATTGTGCTCGTGGTGAAAAGAAACTAATGCCGAGACATAATTAGAAACAGTGTTGAATTCCAATTCGTCGGAGAGATGCGCGATGTATAGGCGTACAGTGTCGACGGAAGCTGGCAAGGCAAGTAAATTGAATTGTTTGCAAAACTGAAGATATCGAGACCACTGTTTCTCACGCGTCCGCCTTGTAGAGGGAGCCATGGATCGTTTCCGCAAACTTTTCGATCGATGCTCCAGAGCCGACATGAGGATACCTGGAAGTAGTGTGTTCTGGTAACGAAAATTCACGGAAACGCGGGTACATGCCGGTAAAGGTGTTAACAGACTTATTTGACTCAAGCGCCCGACTAAGAGCATCTGCTGCGGTGTTGGTTGCTCCGGGCCGGTGATGAGCGCGGATTCTAAAATCGAATTTTATAGACGCGTAAAAAATAAGTTTCAACCACAACATTCCAAACGCATTGCGGGAACATCCTCGGTTGAGGAAGGCAACAGTCGCGGCGTTATCGGATTCGATAATGACCGTACTTCGGTGAAATAGCGGGGACCAAACGAGGACCGCAACACAAGCACAAATGAGCTCGAGGAAGTTGACGTTGCTCGCCACCGATGCGTCCAAAACCGGCGTAGGCAACCAGCATTTGTTCAACACGACAGGCGGTAATGATAGAGGATCCCACGATCCCAGTAGCCAAAGGTCACCGAATACAGCACCGAAGCCGCTAAACGAAGCATCGGTGCTAAAAGTTATTTCCGGCCGAAGTAACCCTAGAGAGCAGGGGATGAGACCGTTCATGCCGGAAGCGAACTGAAACCACCAGCGAAATTCTTTTTGCAGCGGGACTGTGATGCGAGCTCGGTGGTTTGCGCTTTTCAAGGCGGAAATGCAATCGATGAACATCCTGGAGAAAGTCCGCGCACCGTAAATTGCGCGTGAGGCAAATGAAATGTGGCCCAAAAATTTCTCCAGTTCCAGCCGGGTGACCTTTACTCGGTGCGACAACATAAAGGCGCTATCCTGCAGTGCGTGGAGTTTGTCGGTTGGTAATTCCAACCGGCACAACACTGAATCGATGACCAAACCAAGGAATTTTATGCGAGTGGACGGTCCTTGGACTTTTTCGAATTTCACGGCGAAACCCAGTGATTCGAGCAAAAAAATTAGGACGGCTTTTGCGAGTGCGCAGCTGTCAAATGTGTCTCCAAGCACCAAAAAATCGTCCAAGTAGGACACAATGGCAAAACCACGGCAGTCGGTGATGGGACGTAATGCTGACGCATCTGACTTTCTGACGGCTCCGATTGCGTTAATACGAAGTGGCTTTTCATGTTGTTCTACCAAACGACCAAGTTGAATTTCTTCAAGAAATATTGCATCCATGAAAGGTTTATTGTCGGAACAAAGTGCGCTTTGGTAATTTTTGCAGTCAGCCGGCGAAACACATTGAACATCGTTTACAACAGAAAAGCCATTTGCAATGCCATTCAACAAAAACTTTTATCTGGGTCAGCTGAAAGTTCAGCCTCCCAAACAGACAGGCGTTGAGTAAGAGTACAACGTAACAACAAATCCGGGTCATAAACAATATCGGTTATAACATCAGAGCGAAGAGAGGAATCCGTCGTAACGGTTGATTCGCAGTAGTTAGGTATGGGCAGCGGAGGATCCGGGTTAGGTAGTCGGTAGAGGTCATGCGGTGAGAAGGTAAGAAGTCCGTGATCCCGGAGATGAACAGGAGGCGGGTTCGGAAGGTCAGCCTCTGCTGGTGCTTGGTCGCTCTGCGCAAGCCGTGGCACGGTGATGCTTCCCGCAAAATCCGCAGACGTGGGGATAGTGGCACGGCGTCTCGAGACACGGTTTCTGGTCGTTGTAGTTGTAGCAGCAGTAGTTGGGGAAACGGCGTTTTCCGGTGTCCGGACGTCCTGAACGAAAAAGAGGGTTAGCGGCTTTTTTGCCTCGGGAATCCGAGGATCGGCGAGAATCCGCCGAAAAATGGGCATCAGCTGTTGAGTCGCGACGGGAAATGTCACCCAGAGACAACCCTTCGATGTCGGCTTCCATGCGAAATTCGCAATCGAACCCGAGAACCGCGTCGTCCCTGTAAACGCAGCGCTTTCGCGCTAAATATTCTTGGTATTCCAAGAATTCAATAAGAGATGCAGGTACATTACTCTTTCGAGCCAAAGTTAGGGCGCCCCTGATGTTGCCGGCAAACAGTTCGTCACACGTAATTTCGTGTGGCTTTAAATCCTTATGAGCCTTATGGGCTGCTCTTACAAACGCGTAGGTATGTGGTCTGGCTATACTTCGAGCGTGGTCGGGAATATGCGAAAATTCGCTTGAGCTGCGGCAAGGACTAACAGATCGCTCTACACTTTCCTCACCTGAAGCAGACTGATGGCGCTTCCCGATGCTCCGTGTTGGGGAACGACCGCGAACAACGGATTTCCGTTGAATGCCAGACAATTTGATGCGTAAATCTGCCGGAGAAAGGTCACCTGGTGGCACGATCAGCGGTGATGATCCAGCGGCTTGCTGTGCGGCGAAAACTTCAACGCGATCCCGGTCCCGGGAATTCGTAATAAAATCCAGATTATCAGGGAATTTCCTGACCTTAGCCAAAAAGGCCAAGTCCTCCGCCGTTTTGTAGCCCTTGTCAGTAAGTTGGGCGACTGATTCGGCGGATATGCCAACGGCAGTGGCAAGGTCAAAGGGGGAATCACCCTTTACTGGCCGGTCGTCCACCCGTTCTTCCTCAACTTCGGAGGCGTCATCCGGATGAAGCAGTAGAAAGAGGCGGGTCACAAGGTCCTGCTTCGTCTCCACTTTGGGATCAAACGCCTGCTCTCCCTCCAGTTCAACAATAAGCTGTTTGACTTCCTTCAGGTTTAGACGACCAAGTTTCTTCTTATTAAACGTACGAGCTGATTCCACAGTAGCAGGGGCCATGATGAAGATAACAGACGTCTGTATAAAATAATAACTGACGATTTATGCAGAACGCTGCTAAAGGTCACTGGCCAAACTTAACTGTAAAAAAAATTTTCAAAATTTTCTTAACTGCAAACAACTGTGAACAACAGCGCAGAATGCTACCGCTCGCACTTATATAGACACACCACTATACACAGAACATGTGCTCGCTTAACAACCAGGATGCGGCGCCGTACGTCGCAATACGCGGATTCTCCGGTGCCTTAGAATCCAGTCCGTTCCGGAAAAAACAAGCATTAATATAAATAATTTAGGAGTATCTTATAAATAATGAATATCAATAGGAAAAGTAAGTATTATGGAGCTGTAAAGGAAATGTCGAGTTAGCAGCGCCGTCTACAAATTTGGACGGGAGATATGGATATAGGTAATAGCTTACTCGTCACGCATCGTTACTCGACCAGAACACAACACACACCACGCATCGCTGTTAGGCCCGACCGCTGCCTTCAACTTGCCGGGGCATTCCACACTCTACGGCCGCCAGAAATTTTCTGTTCTTTACACACGGATTTCGAAGACCAAAAACAGAAACTACCGTTTCTTACATACTAAAAGGAATTCCGTCGTATACCGCAAATAAGAAACTGTCACGGTTCGCTGAACTATCTCAGTTGATGTGTACTTTGGTTTTGTAGCGTGCACTTGCACGGGAGAAGCGCATGTGCCCATCAAATTTCACAAACGTTGCCAATCTCCGGTGTACAAATAATGGAATCACAAGAAACGAAGAATCCGGGCCGTTGGTCAGGAATGTAGTTACGGGCCGACTCGATGGAAGAGCAACCGGATATTGCGCTTACCGCCTATGTCGATAATTACTGGATGTACTGTGATGCTGTTGGTGTTCACATACCAGTACTTTTGGTGAAACCCTTCTCCTACTTTCTGTACTTCGCCTTGATATAATTATTATCTTTACAGTGGAATTTCCTTGTGGCAAAAATTTATATTAAAAGTGGTGTTTTCAACGCAAAATATACGTTATGTAATATTTTCCCATAATGCATACTTCGGTAATTTCATAAAGCTTCGAATTCCAAGCATTTGTTCAGCCGATTTTCGCTGACCATGCATCACTTATGCGTGCTCGTTCTCGTGTAGAGTTGTTTACACAAGAATAATTGCCGCACTGTACAACTAGATTGTTTTATGCGTTAACACCAGCCGGCAACGATGCCAAGGTAAACGGCTTTCCTTGTACCACTGTTCACAGGAAGCCGGGTGATTTGTAGAAACACAGTGATCGGAATACGTCACATGTGGATGTTGATATCGTTGCTGGAAGGCCGGTCCCGGAGATTGAGGAAGGTTTTCGGGATGAGATCGATCCGTTAACTGGACGGCTGGTCGGGATGTTGCTCCGGTCAACCGAATTAAGGAAAGCAACAGTGACTACGCGTACTCCCGATATCTGACATGTAACCGGCAACGCCGGTTTTACTGTGATATTGATAGAAGGAATGCAGTTCTTGGTCAAAATTTGATTCTTTTTGTCATTCATATTCTAACCTTTATCGTCTTTTGTCTTCGCTGTTTGCACGGAAAAAATTCAAAACAAAAATGGATATCGAAATTCAAAACGAAAACTTATCTTTATGTCCTGTTTTAGCATGTATGGACTATCAATACGAGTAATATTGTGAATATTATCTGAAGCAAGGCTTGATTCGAGTACTCCACATGTTTGTTACAATGGTCTAAGTTGCACAAAAAATGCAGTTGAGGAATTTTGTCTGACATTGCACTTTCCATGTGCGCATGTTCTCATGGAGAGTTTCTTACACTTGAAAAACTTCCAGAAATAATGGCTTGCTTGCCGTAAGAATTGACAGCCCATTGCAACGCTGCCGACCGAAAATGCTAGCCAGCCATGTTTTTGGAACTGAGTACTATAGTAACTGTAGTGTTGTTACTATAGTAATAACAAATCGCCATGGACCAATCGTGTTAGTTCAGAAATGCAATTTACCATCGCAAAACTCCGAAAACATTAAGCAAGTATTCATCAAGAGAGCGGTCACACTCAACTTGCATTTTTTTGTATGACTTCTTCCACCGAGTACGAGTGTGTGTCCAGTTGATGATGGGTTGGCATTACTCGGTGGGATCATTGATTTGACCAATAAAAACGGGTACACCGACGACTTCGTTCCAGATGACCACCAGAAACGGTCGGTCGGCAACGAAGTCGGGTTGAGGTTCACGTAAACAGTGACACACCAATCGGCATGCACTGACAGCCGTCGCTTTTACACCGTACTCATCCAGATCTACAAAAAAAGATTTTTCGATGTTCAGCAACATGTCAACTGAGCACAACTGCGGAAAGATACCTCCATAATTATCATGAATCGTATTACGTATTACGTATTATGTAGTACGTATTACGTGTTAGCGTATTACGTAGTTATAATTATATTAGTAAATATTTTATGGGTAAGACAATATTATTCTTTTTCGTAACACTTAAAATTCCAGGACATTCTGTGTTTAAACAAAACATGCACAAGTGAGAAGATGTGCAACACAAGGGGTCTAAAAAACCGTTTTCTCGCGTGAAAAAATGGGCGTCGACTAATCCATTAAAAATTTGGTCGCTGGTCTCTTGCTCTGGCACTCTAAAATAGCAAGTTTCATCTGCAGAAAGTTTAGTACCTAAGATAACTTCTTGTGTAAATTCATCGATTTTCATTTCTTTTCCATCATCCATCATCCTAGAGAAATTCCCTGCCGATGGTGCGTACATCTGGTCTAAACCCAGCTTCATTGTAGTTAGGATCAGGTCTGTAGAGCAGCGGATGCGAAATTTGGGAAGCAGGATGTAGGGGGGACAATCGGGCTCGCTTTTCTTTAGCCAGGATAAGAGCCGCTGAATTGTCAGCATTTCTACCAGCTGCCGCATTCCATCAGCCGAATTATCCGCTGGTAACAAAATCATAACACTAAACTTCCTTCCCTTTACATCCATGACAATGATTTTTGGATCACCGACCTCGACAACGGCCCTGGCGTAATCCAAAACATTATAGTGCCGGATGCAAGCGCGCTCTTCTTTCATGAAACTGACAGTCTTTTCCACACCACCGGGACAATGAAAAATGTTCTGCTTAGTATCTTGCGGGTTAAATGGCGCTGTCCACTGTCCGGCAAAATCTATGATGTTGATTAGGATAAGCGCTGCATTCGGTCGGCTTTCGGTAAGAAATGCCGTAATTTTGCCCTCTGTCTTCTCCGCCACGAACTGGTTGACAATGTCCACCGCTCGGTCCGGAGCATCCTGAAACGGCGTCGGAATAAACCCGCATTGTATGGACGTCTCCACCGTCTCGCGGTACTGAGAGGCCAAGCGACAGTGATCGTCATAAAACACCGCATTCGCACTGTTCAGCGCGCCGTCCGTGTTAACTGCCTGTAGATTCGTTACCAAGTCGGAAAAAGATCGTCCATCGGGACACAGCAGCTGCGCCAACGCTGCATGCAGTTCACCATCGGTTCCGGGGAAAAGCGCTGCCAGGACCAATTCCGCGGAATACGGACAGATTACAAGATTTTTGCTTGGATGGCGACAAGTTTCCAAAGCGGCCTTGAACGCCTCCACTGCGAAATTATTCTCCGTATTTACGGTGAATTCGGTGATAGGAGGAGGTGGTGGGAGAGTGCGATGAGTAGCTTTCTCCTCTGTAGACTGCTTTAGCTCCTCTCGTCCTATACATGATTCAAAACAGTCCAGAAAGTTCCGCATAGTGGAAGAGATATTGCCTGAAGCGAGTACTGCGAGGGTGTGGCAAAAATTGAGCAAGATGTTTGATTCTGGGCTCAATAAGTTTCTCACGATATGGAAAGCAATGACATGAAGCCCGCCCGTCGTGTTCGGGTGAAAAGAAGGACAGGTCTATAGTCACAGATTTTTCATGTTAAAAGTAATACTTAGCCATTATAATAATTACACTTGTATGTAGTAATTACACTCACAATTACACTTGCAGTACTATTTTTTAAAGTATTCAGCATGAGAGTTTGAAATGTTAGTGCAAAATATAACATTAAGAACATTCGCGTACATAATAATATTGGTGTTTGCACTGGGGCTAGTTTGCTTTCGGAGCATACTGGGACGATTGCCTTGTACTGAATGACCAGCATATGTGTGCGTATATTGTTATACTGCGTAGCCATCGATCGATACATGACCTACTCTAGTCACAGCAAATGCACTTTTCCATGCGCTATTTTTAGGGCCGTTATTAAATCGATTTTCTTCTGCAGTATGTATCTCTGCCGCACATTGACCTTATGGGAGTTGTATTACGACTGTCTGCCGCAATTACTTACGACTACTTCAGTTTTATGCATGCACTTGCACGATGAAGGCGCATGTGCCCACCAGACTGTACATATGTTGACCGGTTGCCGATTGTGCCGGTGTATAGCGGAAATACGGGATGAGAGAAATCCGTAAAGTGGGTGGTTAGTCACACATAGTATACCGGTAGTTACGCCTTCCGGTCCTGCCTCCATTGGAGAGAAACCGGTTATTGCGCCTACAGAATCTAATGGTGTCCATGTCGCTGTGCAGGTTTAAATGTAGGGCCGTTTTTACTGTAATGCTTTTAATACTAATATAGTTATGTAATAGTAATGCAAGGGTCTGGGTATTTCCTGGAAACTGTGTTTTTCCCGTACTTTTTTCATTTTTCCCTGACATTTGTTTCGGAAAAATTTCTTTGGTGGCAAAAAGCATTTTTAAAAAAATGTAAAAGTATTGTATTCTCCGCAAACACATACGTTACGTGAACTTCCTGCATGAGACATACTTCGTTAATTTGTATACAGTTAGGCTTTGGAGGCTTAAAGCTTTAATTTAGGCTTTGAAGCAGTTGCTCGGCTCGGCTGATTTTCGCTGACCTTGCATCACTTATGCGCCCGCGTTCTCGTGGAGAGTTGCTTACACAGGAATAATTGCCGTACTATGCCACTAGATTGCTTTGTGCGTTAATATCAGTCGGCAACGATGCCGAAGGTAAACGGTACTCCTTGTACCATTGTTCATATCGTAATGTGCGCAACGCTGCTGCTGTTATTGGAGTATTACTGTGTTACCGAAGTATTTACTGTTTTCTACTTACAATGCTGCGCAATCGCGCTCCCGCTCATAATGAGATCGTCTTTATGGACCCGGAGCCTGGAAAGCCGCTCTGGGACACTCCGGCAACTCGGAAGGGGAAATCATCGCTGTGTCGGATTTGTATGATTTGCGCTGGACTGCTCTTATTGATCTGGTTAGGACTGATGGCTTTTCGAATGTGGCGAGCCGATGGAATCAACCATGGAACGCCACCGCCGCCGGTGGATTTTGGAGAACATCACAGCGATCGTGTCGCCCCGGGAATAGGGCATTACGATATGGACTTCTGAACTGACGACCTTGGATTTAATATGGTCTACACCAGCTCTGGATGCTGAATAACTGGTGTGATTGAATTTACTTTTTGAGACTGTAAAAAGCAGCGTGTGCATTCTTTGCGTTGTCTATGGAGAAAGGTAGCCGTGATTTGTGATTACGAATAAAGAGGAGTATTGATAATTGATTTATGACTTTAGTACATTTACCAAATGGCAGTCTGCGCTAACACAACCTGAACGCTGAATCATTTACAGGAACGTTCCCCAATCGAGCCGAAATAATACAGTTAATTAGCCCAGTCGTTAATTAGAGGCGCAGAAAGTCCCGCAGCGGTGCAAAAAAATACAAAAATAAATACTCGTATAATAATAAATATAAAAATGAATATAAACATGTGCGTGGTTTCACTGCTTTTAAGATGGAAATCACAAATATTATCATAGTTAGTGTCACCGAGCATAGGGCCGCCAAAGTCTTTCAATTCAGAGGCAATCACGAATGCTTAGGTTTATCGACCTGTCTGTTGCGAATGCGGATAAAATTAACACGAATGCGGATAAAATTAACACGACAATGGAAATGGCTATTGTCACCCCCCTGCACCCCCTTTTGACTATTGTCACTCCCTTGCACCCCCTTTTGACTATTGTCACCCCCTTTATTTTAATAAAATAAACACCCCCTTTGACTATTGTCACCCCTCACAACACCCCTTTTGGCTATTGTCACCACCTTTTAATTTATTCTTGTAATTTTTCCTTCAGCGGCTCTTTTTTAATTTTATTCCTGCCAGTTAGGTTGGCAGTTCTTGACCAGCGATCGAGGCAGTCCTTTACACGAAACAGCGGTTCCTTCCGGTGGACGTTCGAGGCCATCGTGTGACGACATGGAAGCCTTAGCCCGCATGTACATGACGCGAGACAGTCACACTGATACCGCATGGTGCTTTTGTCAGAATGTACGTACTAAGTATTCTGCCCTTCGCGTTCGTTGGAACGGTCGTTCGCCCGTGGTCTTTGCCATGTGCGCTTTGTGGCGGATTTATAAACTAGAGTCTTGCGCTAGTTTATATTTATTTCTGGCAACTTTTTCGATCGATCAATGGCGAAAGTCTGGTTGGTGGCTTAAGAAAACCACAGAAAACCAAAGAAAACCTAAGAAACTTAAGAAACCAAAATAATAAGTACATACTATAATTATGCAGATTTTATTCTATCAAGTATACTTACTATAAAGTACTGTAAAATACTACTACTAAGTTGGCTGAAAGGTCAACCCAGCAACAATGTTGAAAAAAATGACCGAGGAGTGGCAATAGCCAAAGGGGATGTCTATTTTATTTAAAAAAAGGGAGTGACAATAGTCAAAAGGGCGTGCAAGGGGGTGACAATAGCCAAAAGGGGGTGGGAGGGGGTGACAATAGTCGCACCCTATTGATATTCAAATAACAGTAATAATAACACAGCATTCTGTTCATGTAAACCTAAAAGACAAGGAATTCGGGACGTTTCATACAAAGCGAAGTTGTAGCACTTCGTAAAGCGCAAAACGACGGTCGCTATTACTACTAGCTTTCTTGGGGCCCTCATTGAACAGATCGGGAATTTTGTTTGTAAATTATAATAATAAGACATGATTAAAATTGAAGAGAAACCATAACTATTGCTTGAGTTTCCTCAGTTAGAGAATAGGAGATTAACCCAGATTGATACGCCGATGGAAGCCAAAATAATGGTTTTCGTAAGACTGAATGATATCTCTTTGTTTGTGAGCTTGTATTATTGATCGGGAAAAACAACTAAACTTAGTGTTTACCGGATGGATGTACGAGTGTCTGTAAGTTGTCGAATGCTGCATGTTTTTAGCAAAATTTTATGGTCGGCATACACTCTGTACATCAAAGACGCTTTGCATGTACAGTATTCCTTTACAGCATTAGTCTCTGTTCGGGGCACACACGGTAGGTTTTACGGTAACGATAGCGGTATGACTCACCACAAATTTACCGTTTTTCTGCCTGTACCGTATCGTAGATAACGATAGAAAGCGTTGGTATCGTTGGGCATCTCCGGTAGAATCTTGTGAGCCGTGGAATTATTGGATTACCGTTTTGTCGAAAGAAATAAGCACTTGAAACATCGCTCTATTTAATAAAATATTTTGCCAAACAATAAAATAGAAATAACATTTAGAAACAATTTGTTTTGTGACGGGACTAACAAACCGGAAGTCGTCTGTTCACACAAACTGCCTCCCCACAAGCGGTTGGTCACGCTCTTGCAAAATTTACTTTACATTTTTTAATTCAGTGAGACCGGACCGAGCCCAAGCCGAACTCTGTATCGAGCGTTATCGTTGTGCTTAGCGAACAAACAAACTTCTAACGATGACGGAAACCATCACGATAGCTACCGGTATCGTCACCGGAAAACCTACCGTGTGCGCACCGAACAGACACTATATGCACGGTAATGCACCTGACGATTAGAAACAAAAATACGAACATGAATACGATACGCCACATTGTACGAAACGTTAGCTATAAGGCTCGAAAGAAAGAATAGGCAGGATTATTGTGGATACTTCTATACAGAGTAATCGAAAATTATAATGAGCCACAGTCATCACAGTGTCGTTAGTACTCGTTACCAAATCTCTCTAATCAGTAACTGGGGTTATTGGGTGGCAACCTACGGACGTCAATATATGGTTCCATCTTGTCTAACTTGGCGACACGGGATGCAGGCTCCGATCCATAAGGGATAGTCGAAACTGGCTCCATCGTGCACATGTCATATACGCACGTCGCTACATACATAAAAGTACAAACACCCAGATTGTGTGTAGATTTCTGGGGCAATGTAGATTATACGACACCGTTATGTACAGACAGTTACCAATGTAGGGAATGTGTCTTTACCATGCCATATCTCGCCAGCCGTCGCGTAACGGTCTGCGTAAGGTTCGGTTTGGTTTATAGGTGACAGATGGAAGCGGTACGGCAGAACATCACGGATGTTGCGGTTATTCTTTCAGGCCAGTGATGGGCGAAGCAGCACTGCGACTGCACTAAGTCGCTGTTCTTGTATCCTGCCACGCAGTCACGGCAGTGAGGATCGCCGTCCACCGGGCATCTTCTCTTTCCTGGCAGGAGATTGTCACTCAGGAATGCAGTCTGGCCCTTCCCGGCCCTGTAAACACCTTCGAAGAACGGGTTACGGTTGCTTCTGCCATTCGGGTAAGGTTGCTCGATGCGGACATAGGGTGTGAAGCCGGCCGGTTGTCATGCCGGGATGGTGTACTGGATGTCGTCGGCGCGGACGGTTAAAAATCACACG